GCAGACAGGCTCCTATTTCTATTTCCCTATGACACTTCCCTCTTTCCCAGGGCTCTTTTTGATTTGAGGTCATTTTTGAATTATGAGGAGCATTGACTCTACTCCAAGCTCCCCCAAGAGGCAGCTCCAAGATGTGGCCCTTTGGTATCCTGTAAAAGAGGTGATCTTAAGTGCTGCCAGGACATACTACAAACAATTTTCAATTACAGTAATAGAGAGGCATTAAGACTTAGACTTAGACAAACTTTATTGATCTACAAGGGAAATTATTTCTTATTATTTAATTTAATTATTTATTATTAAGGAACACCCAGTTAAATTATTCAACATAAAATATGAGAGCTAAAGGGCAAGCATAAATAGACATAACTGTGATCAAGGATATGAAGAGTTATATTCTTGTGCTCATTATAAAGATTACAATCCTGCATGGCCCTGACCTTACTGGGGCGAAATAAAAGCACTTTGTTTTGATAGTGCTTATTGAGTCTTTTCTATTGGGCAGAAATTGGCTCCAGCTCCAGAGGAAGTCCTCTCCAGCCACATGTTCATCAATTACTCTGGGCTCCCAATAATTGTATTGATCTCATTCTCTACCTTTTTGCTGCCACACACAGCCTGACCACCAGTGTCCAGCCTGCGGGATCCCGATAGGCTACAGTCTAGACTAATGATGCACACTATAGGGAAATAACACAAAAAATAACTTTGTCCAAATTTCAACTGTAACAGACACAATAATAATGTAAAAGGAAAAGCAATGACAGATGACAAGTGCCCTTTAAAGCTACTATCCATTATTTGATTTTTGTACCTCGCTGCCAAAGCACATAATATTACATTGCACGCCCATTCACTCACTTGCCTGACCAGCCAATCCCTTCTACATTCTGTTCAAAAAGAAAGGACATGAACCGGACCCTAAAACCTGAAAAACTCCACACTTGAAACAATCCAGCCACCCCTAATTTGTAGTACGTATCCCTCAAATGTGGAAGACATCTCCTCTCCAAAATCCTCATAACATTCAGAACAAAATATATAACTTCTTTTACCTGAGATAATAGGTTGTTTCTTTGATTGTTGATTCTGTAAAAATCTGTGTTGTTTCTCAGTCCTTAATGTTTTTTTTTTTGTTTTTTTTGTTTTGTTTTTTTACATGTAAGCAGTTTTATTTGTTTTGACACAAACAGAGCATGCATCTCTCTGATTGGTTAATCTGCTTGTCAATCACATTCTATGAAATCAGGGAGATAAGATACGGCTCCCGATCCATTCTTCTTTGTAAAGTTTTGTCAAAGTGTGTGAATCTGGCTGGTCAGGTAATTCAGTAATATGGCTGGATGCAGCAAGAAGGGTGCCCAGTGTAAAACCAATTGAAAACCAGAATTCTGATCTTTGCAAACTATTTGCAGTATTGAACCATGACCATGAAACAACCGTCTGGGATAGTCCAGTTGCTTACATATAATTCTCACCAAATACTGTCTTCTTTCTTTCTTATGGTTCTCATGTTAAAATTACTTGTATTAGCAATATCATTCAGCCATTTCTTTCCCACAAATAGCTACATTTACAACACATTTTAATGGTGCTTAGTGTTTCCCTGAACTACTCTGGTACAGAGGCCCTTTAATTCTATGTTTAACTACAAAACAAAACATTAGTAGAAAACATTAGGGATGTTTCTAGTTTAATTCAATTTCCAGTTGTCAAACATATCTCCATTCTGATTTGTCTGTTCACATTTGGCTGGCTTAAACTGCCCCATAATTCAATTACATCTGATATGATAATAGAGCTAGACTAGTTGAAATGAGAGATATCTTCATGCTGCCTGGGAAAGCCAACTGCAGGAAGGCTGTTTGCTTTGTGTGGTAATCATAAAGATAGCGCCATAGGGAAGAGGAAAGAGATAGCCATTTGAATGGAGATACATGTTGGTATTTTATAGTGCTAAAATATCATTCAGTACAGGCTATTACTTACTTTTGTGTTGCGGTGTTTTCTTTTTGTTTTTTTTAACACAGCTGTGTTCTGACAGCAGGTGGTGAAACAGACAATGGTTGTTTTCAAATGGATCATTGGGTTTGGCTATTTTTTGTGCATGAGAGAATTATGAAATATGAAACATTTTACAGTTTTTGAATAAAGTTATGTTTCTAGGACCTATTGTTTCTAGGTCTTTTGCAAATTTATTTTTTTAAGTTATACCCATTAGTAGTGGCTCTTTAGTGACATCTGGTGGTAAAGGTGCATTGTTTAAAAAAAAAAAAAAAAATATATATATATATATATATATATATATATATATATATATATATATATATATATATATATATATATATATATATATATATATCTTTCAATTTTTTTTATCTATACTTATATTTAATAACTAATAGCAACATTTTCTTTTTGTTTAACCTGCAGCACCTTGATTTTGCATGTAGTATTTATTAAGCCTCAAATGTACTCAAATGTAAGAATAAAGTTTACTGAAAGGTGCATTTTGTAACTTTTCTGGTGAAGGGTCTGTCACCTGTTTGTTTCTATGTGACATTGCTTTGTCTGAAATGTTCCACAGTATGACATTATGCAGCTCTACCTTATATTTATTCAATTATAGGTGATTTTATAGCTCAAAAATACCTTAAAAAATAATAACAATTAAAAAAAATCAGGTGAGCGGGTTTGCCTCTCCACAGATCTGAGGTGTGATTTGGTCTCCTTGAAGATAGGTTTAATGACATACTGTGAAACATTCCAAACAAAGCAATGCAAAAAAGAAAAAAAGAAAGAAAGAAGAATATCGAGAGAATAACTTGCAAGAGTAACTGGATGTCCGGATGTAGTAGGCTACCCTATTTGCATTATATTTTATATTTGAGGTTAATGTAATCGGAAGGACAAAATGTTCAATAATAAATACTGTTTGATATTAAAATAACACAATAATATTGAAATATGGTCAACGTAAAGTGTTTGCCTCAGTGGGAAAATGCAAACAAAACTTGTGTCTGGTACTGGTACACTGTAAAATATGTAATGTAAAAGTTGAAGTGAAATAGTGTCATATGATAAGTAGGCCTACAATTTTATGAAGAAAAAACATTCAGTAAATATAACTGTACTACTAGCAGTAAGGTTGAATTGAAGTAAAATTGTATTTGCTCATTGTCATTACCATTCTGTATGATAATGGTGATACCTGGTGTCTTGTAGAGTGGAGTCACAAATGAATGTTCAGCCTCATATACCACTTCTAACCCTTAATTTAAAGTAACCACTTTGGATTGATAACACTATAAAGCCTAACCCCAAGTAACAACTACTTATTGAAGGTACAGTTTATCTCTGTGTGTTATTAAATAAGCTTGTTTGATTAATAATTACACTTACAGAGTACATCCTGTTTGCTCTAGCAATTTGAAATTCCACATTCTCACACTATATTTTCTCCAGCCAAGAAATCGTAATGATTGGAGCTAAAATATTTTCCACAAGTTGACATGACCCCACAAGCCTTCTAATGGTAGAAAAGGAGACAGCCTGACGGTACTGGATGGCCGTGTAAGTATCATTTGATCTGTACAATATTGCCCCCTAGAGTTCAAGTGGTGCATCTGTACACTTTGGATCCCTTGAGGCGACGTGTCAGAGGACAATGCTGCAATGCAATATAGTAGTGTAATTTACCACCGGGCCTTCCCAGCAAATTGACCACGGATGCACCCCACTGTATTACTCTGTCACTTTCAATTTGAGCAAGGCACTTGGGTGTTCAAACACACAGTTCTATAGGCCTACCTAAAGGGCCATGTAGTCAAACAGTCATGTCACTGTAAATAGACACCTGTGTATTAAAATGCATAGGATTCTTGGCCTCTTGGCATTATTTTCTGATCTTTCTCATCACAAACATATCTGAAGTTGTGTTTTTTTTTTGTTTTTGTTTTTTTTTTTTTTTTGTTTGTTTGTTTGTTTGTTTTTTTCATTCACACATGTTTAACACACAAATAATGCATCTTTGGGCCAACTTCTTCTCTTAAACGGAAAACATTTTGTTCCACATTGTGATGCCCTGTGCTACAGGAAATGCTCCACTGCTGTTTTTAAAAGTATATACCTTCACAGCGATCTCTTGGATAATATCAGCAATGGAATTTCCTGTCTTTACTGAACAAATGTTAAAAGGTAGATGTTAACTTGTAAACTACAGCTTCATTACATCACAAGATAGAACAGAGCATTTTCAGGTTTAGAGATGTAGACAATAAGGATTAACCTACTCAAACATGTGTGAATGAAACAACTCCAGGTATATTTTTGATGAGGTAACAACATTCTAACTAAAAGGGCACAAGAGTCAGTTTTGCACAATATAGGACCATTAACAGCAATAGGACGACTACACAAATGGTATTCTGTTAGTGATTATTTAGCCTTTTATTTTTTCAAGAGGGATAAATGTCATAATTAGGTCTATTACTGCACAGTTCAATTGTATTTTGTCAGCACTGTATCGCATTTGCAATACTGATAATTCCACATTTTCAGTAAGCTATTGATGAATTACAGATTGCTCTACTGTCACAATTGCAGAAGACACATAAAGGGAAATCCAAAGCCGAATTCCTATGTATAATTTGATGTTATTTAAGTTAAAGAGAAGTAGAATAGTACTAGTAGGCTATTAGCACTCTGAGCCTACTACTTCTATTCCTCTTACTCAAATTAACATTACTCCTGCTGGTCTGAGGGCTACTTTTGGCCCCCAGACTGTAGTGTGGACACCCTGGTTATATATCTATAGATTGTTGTGATGGGAAGTATGTGTCTAACCCAGTCTTGTAATAAAAAAAAAAAAAACATTATAATCCTGCAAACGCACAAATATTACAGATCATGAACATGAACATACAGTCTGGTCATGAATCAGAGTTTAAATATGTGCTATCCTCGAGCGCCCCCTTGAGTCCGGCAAGTCATAAGTCACATGTTGACGTTTCCGGCAGGAGCAGACATATTGCTTACAAGAGCAATTTCTGGAAAGCTACACTAGAGAGCGGATTTATAAGTCCTATATTTGTTCCTCTTAGAAACTCTTCAGTCACACAGAAGACCATGGGTAAGATGTCCTCTGAGTGCGTTTCAAAAGATCAGTGAATGACATCGGTGTGTTGTGGCGTCGTTAGAGGGATAATGATTACGAAATCTGGGCTGTCAGTGTTTAGCTAACGCATGCTGCTAACTTAGCTATAAAGCTAAGTTGCTTATATACGCCTTTAAGCACATTTTATTACCCACATAGGCTAAGTTTACATTGGGATAAATGTGTATGGCACCTGAGTATATAGGAAAAATATGTAAAGTTGTATGTAGCCATTCGATCTGTGATGTTAAAGCCATTTGAAGAAAACAATTTGTTAGCATGCTCAGCCTAAATATATTTAGGATTACTCAGTCAGCTGTAACCAAAATGATTCTCTGACCCCAGAGCTTAGGACTGATATGTGACCTCCTAATTTTAGCTTCTCTGTGGTTATTGCAGAATTGTCTTTAAATGTACTATCCAACGTTATGTCTCTTATTCAGATGTCTGTGTTGTAGAAATAATAATTTCTTATGAGTACACATCCTGACCATAAATGAATCTATGCCATATTATTACAATAGTGTTTGCAGTGCAGTATTTTTATGAAAATTATTTCAAGTTATGCACCACCTTGTCCTCAAGCCACGCTATCTTATGTAAGGTGGAATTTCTAATTTAAGTGAACAGTTTTGTACTGTGGGGTGACTTAAGACTCTTTAAAACATGAAATACCCCAACAATACAATTAGACAATACATTAGACAATACATACCTCACAATTATTGAGGCCATTATATTCAGTAATCCCTTAGTCATTATGTTGTTAATCGGTCGTTGAAGTCTTTTTTTTTCTATTTGTTGACAAATTATTCCATAGGATTATATAATTTGTATGAGGGAGTGAGTTAGCTGGAGTTTTGGGAGTGAGTGGATATTGTCTTAACTCCATGTTAAGAAGAGTATTTCTGTAGTATGTAACTTACCTGTGCATTTAAATCTAAAGTTGCCTTATACATTCATAATTTGGTGGCCCTTATTTTAATATTTTAACAGGAAAGCTTAATTTTGCTGAAATCTCCAATGTTTTCCTTCTTCAAATCAGAGTGGCACTCCATGTGGTCAGTATTGTGTTGCTCCAGTGCTATGATTGCACAAAATGTAAGGCATCAGATTATGCCCACACAGCACCTGTAGGTCCAGTGACTCAAAACTATACATGTGTATGGGTGCTTGATGATGACACTTGTGTTGCTTAAAAAGTGTTTACGTTTTGTCTTCATAGTTTCAGTACTCATATTAGAAGTGCTGAATTTCAGGAAATACTGGGTTTGGTCTGATTTGTATTCATCAGCATTGTTTTTTTTATCATCCCATAGAGCCGTCAGCCAGTCCGGCCAAGGATAACTGCAGGATGAACCGCTACAAAAACAAAGCACTGAACCCCGAGGAGATGAGGCGCAGGAGAGAGGAGGAGGGCATCCAGCTTAGGAAACAGAAACGGGAACAACAGGTTTGGCCACAGTTATGTAAACACACAAATAATACAAATGCGGACTGGGTGATATGGGGATATGATACGATGTGATATGATGTTTATTATTATTATTATTAATAATAATAATATCATCATAGCTTTTCAAAAGGCGAAATGTTGATATTGTCAATGAAGATGAAGCCATGTTTGAAAGTCCACTGGTGGATGCCTACCTCACCTCCCCAGTAACAGTGAGTAGTGAATACATTCCACACTGAGGATGCGTCGAGATGCTTGCTCTTGAATGATCACATATTTCTTTTCAGGAAGGAGTTATAACAAAAGAGATGGTAGAGATGCTTTTCTCTGAGGACCCAGAGCTTCAACTTGCCACAACACAAAAGTTTAGGAAACTTCTGTCCAAAGGTATTCACTTAACCTCCCTCACAAACTGTGTCTTAAAGGGCCCACCATTTTTTTATTTATGTCATAATGTTTCAGCAAAAATAATTTTCAGCAAAAACATACCTGGTGTTGTGTTTTGTTTCATTCACACATTTGTAACACAGAACTCCTACATGTCTAGACTGTTCTTCTCTCAAACAGAAAACACTCTGTTCCACCTTGTGATATCATATGGCAATATAGGAAGTGTTCCATACACCTTCACTAGAATGATTTGGATAATTTCAGTCCTCTACTGAACAAAACATAAAAGGTAGCTCTTAACTTCAAAACACCACTTCACGGGTTCTCAAGGTGGAACAGATCATTTTGAGCTTTGGAGATGAAGACAAGCTACTAATCCAGGATTGCTCAAACATGTGTGAATGAAACATAACTCTGGTTATGTTTTTGATAAAGTTTTGATGAGGTAACGGCATTCTAATATGGTTTAAAGCTCAATTTTGTCTAATATAGGACCTGTGTCTGCATTTCACATTTCAGAGCCTAATCCCCCTATTGATGAAGTTATAAATACACCTGGCGTTGTGGAGAGATTTGTGGAATTTCTAAAGAAGGGTGACAACAGCACTCTACAGGTACAGCTAGAAAACAGTTGTATTTTAATAAATTTTAAATGATGAATTAAGAATGATTTGTTTACAATATATCTTTCAGTTTGAAGCTGCGTGGGCTCTCACAAACATTGCATCGGGCACTTCAATGCAGACAAAGACCGTGATTGAGGCCGGTGCAGTGCCAGTCTTTAAAGAGCTCCTTAACTCAGACTTTGAAGACGTCCAAGAGCAGGTAAAACCCGATTCCTACTTTGAAATGCCCCTTTAATGCAAAGTTATGTTGATCTTTTTTTTGTTGTTGTTTTGTTTGTAGGCTGTATGGGCCTTGGGTAACATTGCAGGAGACAGTGCAGTATGCAGAGACTATGTGCTGAACTGCCAAATCCTTCCACCTTTATTATTGTATGTATATGTTTTTATTAACATGGTTTTGGAAAAGAGTTGTGATTAGATTTACAAGTCATGTTTTAAAATCTAGATTCAGTTCAAAGTGCACACTTTTGACTTTTGACTTACACTCTTAGAAAACATATTATCCTATTATTTTTTACCAACTTTAAAAGGTTTTTAACTATGTTAGAATTGCTTCGCTTCACATTTACCTATTCAGTTTTTTATTTGAAGTGATTCATGCATGTTTGAGTAACCTTAACTCTCCTGAAGTCATTATGCCATTGCTATGAAAATTCCCTACCCACCATACATGCCCACTGCTCTTTATTTACTCTAATTTATGATTATTATTTCAAATACACATAGGAATCATTCAGCAGTGTTGTATAGCCATTTTGGCACAAGTGAAGAAATACCATACACTGCTGTACCTTCCCATAAGTGGGGTCAGCATGGTCTGGCACCTATGTAGAAGACAAAAGCATAATAAGCATAATCTCTTATATTAAAATCAGTTGTGCTGATTGCTTTTTATTTGTATTTGTTTCCAGGCTTTTGACCAAATCCACTAGATTGACCATGACTAGAAATGCAGTTTGGGCTTTATCCAATCTCTGTAGGGGAAAGAACCCTCCACCAGCTTTTGAAAAGGTCTTAACACACAAAGACATTTACATGTTACATGTTTTACAAATTGAACCGCGCTAACCTCACTCCGCTGTGTACTCTATTCTCCCCCCAGGTTTCCCCCTGTCTGCCTGTGCTCTCCAGGCTTTTATTCAGCAGTGACCCGGACCTACTGGCCGATGCCTGCTGGGCCCTATCTTACCTCTCAGACGGCCCCAATGACAAGATCCAGGCTGTGATCGACTCCGGGGTCTGTAGGAGACTCGTGGAACTGCTCATGTAAGGCACACTCAGAAATTATGATCATATTTAGGATAATAGTTGGCCTAATTCTGTTCCGTATGTTGCATTCATGTGAGAACAACATCAGAACATTCAGGAATTACTGCAGTTTTAAAATGGATGGAGGGAAGGTCAAAATTATATGGTGGAATTTGCTATTTAACTATATCAAATTACAGATTTTTGACCTGCTTTATCAGGTAAGGTACACTATTTAGTCTCTGTAGGGATATTTGTCCTCTACATTTGACCCATCCTTCAGTGCTGATGAGGCAACATGTCAAGAGCAGGTTATGGTCAATATATGATCTACATGAACACAAACTGATACCCAGTTCAGCTACATCTTGTCTGTTGAAATAATTTCCTTGGATTAATTAACACTGTTAACATTAAACAACCCAATCTTACATTTATTAAATTAATGGTGGTTTTATACCTCAATACCTAGAAAAAAAAAACAATCATTCTGTCTGTGCGTGGGGTTGCCTCTCCACAGATGTGACTTGTAACCTGCTTTGTTCTCAGTGAAGACAGAAAGGATTAATACCATACTGTGAAACATTCCAGAAGAAGCAATAACATCTCCATGGAAAAAAGTATTTGACGGGCTTTTCACCAGAAAGGTTACACAATGCACCTTAAAGCTATCATAATAGCTTCAGGAAAAGTTGCTATCCCTAACTGCTTGTTGCTAATTGACAGGACTTACCATATTTTCTGGGCTATTAGGCGCTCTGGATTATAAGACGCACTGTCATTAAATGGTCTGTTTTCACACTTTATTCACAAATAAACCGCATCAGACTTTAAACGAAACACAGCAGTTAGATGGGTCAGTCGGACTTTGTTTGGTGCGTTAACAGTGACTCTGAGCTTTGTTCAGTTGTGGTGCATAGGGAGGGTGCTGTCTGGGACCGGATTGGAGGCGTGTTCGCAGTGACTTAGTTGTACAGTTGTGCCTCAGAGTGGCACATTGCATGCGCTTTTTCGGTCCGTTCCTTGTCCTCGTCCGCGTGGAGTGATGAGTGTGGCTGCGGGTGTGTTTTGCTGCGGTCGCTCTCTGCTCCGTGCGTGTTTGCGTGCGCTGCGGGTGGTGCGGCTTTATAGTTTATTAAAGTCATGCTGGGACACCAGAGTGCATTCATGTATAGGGCGCTCTGGATTGCAGGGTGCACAATTGTTTTTTGATGGGGTTGAAGGCTTAAGAATGTGTCTAATAGCCCGGAAAATACGGTAATAGTCAAAAACTGTGAATTTCCCATAGTGTTATATAGGCCTAACCTTGCTCATGCCTGATTAATAAGTGTTCACTGTGAATTGAGTTCTACACATTATCGATCTGTAATGGCTCTTGCTGAAAGTGTTTAAAAAAGCAGGAAAAGGAGGGTCTTGCAGCAGAATTTCTGAAATTTGTTGTACCTGGCTCAAACAAAGAAAGAAAGAAAGAAAGAAAAATAAGAATGCTTCGAGCAAACCCATCAATTTCTTTTTAGCCAATCACAGCAAACCTGTCAAAATAATGTATCCAACTTGCGCCAGTTAAAACCAAAACAAGTGTCATGTTGGGGAGGGAAGATGTTGATAAATGAATGCCATTTTGCAGTACAAATTTGTGCATTAAGGGCGTTATAAGCCACCATCAATGTCCGCCAGTGCCGACATGTTTGTTTTGGTCTGTGTAGGCCAAGTGCTTGGGGGTGTCATCATGTTACCTGAAACTCCTCCCCTGCACATAAAAGCCCTGTGACTGGGTTGACTACTGGCGAGGGTCGAATTTAAACCATACAGCGGGAGCACCTCAAGATGGATTCTCATGACTCTGTGAACTCACAAATATCATGAGAATCCATCTTGCTGTGCAAAATTAATATAGGCACCCTATCTGAAATTATGACATCAGATTCTATTATGTGAAACCTACCTCTTCTGAAGAGCTGAGGAGATAGCTTGTCAAGACAAAATCTGGATGCAACCACAATTTAAAAACTGCCATGTCTTCTCTAGGCACACTGACTATAAGGTGGCATCCCCTGCTTTGAGAGCTGTGGGCAACATTGTCACAGGAGATGACATTCAGACACAGGTATAGTTATATTTCATTACAACAAAAAGAACTAAACGTAATAAATGTTCTGTTCAATGCAGTATATATTGCAAGGAAAATATGTGTAAATTTTCTATCCTATTTTCTATATTTTTTCAGTTTTCCCAAGTCGTCCTTGCATTATTATGATGTGTTTTCTTTAAGAATGATAAATCTGGCTTGTGGTGACTTGAAAATTACAAATCTAAACAAACCAGAGCTACTTTCTTGTCCGTAGGTTGTGTTGAACTGCTCTGCCCTCCCCTGCCTCCTGCACCTCCTCAGCAGTGCCAAGGAATCCATCCGAAAAGAGGCCTGCTGGACCATTTCAAACATCACCGCTGGAAACCGGGCTCAGATACAAGTGAGCATCTCCCTGCACAGCAACACTACTATACAATATACGTGCATACTGTCTGAGGTTTTGACCTTTTTTTTTTTTTTTTCGGCAACCTTGCAGAAAGTAATAGATGCCAACATTTTCCCAGTGCTAATTGACATTCTACAGAAAGCAGAGTTCAGAACCAGGAAAGAGGCTGCCTGGGCTATCACCAATGCAACTTCGGGGGGTACACCAGAACAAATAAGGTCTGTTAACTGTTACGCTTAATGATTTTGATTACTTAAATGCAATGATTAATTGGAATTATTAATGTCAATGTACAATACATGTAATTGTTTGACTTGGTGACACACAGGAAAAAGTCTACTAATAAAATCATTAATTCCAGCCTACTAAAGGCTTTTCCATCCCCCACTGTATTTGGGATTTATGTTACGTTAGATTGATTTTGAGGTTTTGCATGGAGAGTTAAATAATTTTTGGTGAAGATGAAAAAATAGCTAGTGTATGCTGTCAAAACTGATATTTTGTGTCAAGGACTGTGGACTCTTTCTAAGCGGACTTTGCATACTTCTCCTATAGATACTTGGTGAACCTGGGCTGCATAAAGCCTCTGTGTGACCTGCTCACTGTCATGGATTCCAAGATTGTGCAGGTGGCTTTGAATGGACTGGAGAACATCCTGAGGCTGGGTGAACAAGAGGCCAAGCAGGACAACAATGGCACTGGAGTCAACCCTTACTGCGCTCACATTGAAGAAGCTTATGGTACTGATTCATCAGACTCACTGCAATGTCATCTTTATTTAGTCTACAGTGGATTTACTTCTGGTATAAACTGGTCATGTGCTTCTTTTGTTTTCAGGTCTAGACAAGATTGAGTTTCTTCAAAGCCATGACAACCAGGAGATCTACCAGAAGGCGTTTGAGTTGATCGAGCACTACTTCGGAGGAGAGGATGTGGACAGTAATCTGGCTCCACAAGTGGACCAGGCCAATCAGCAGTACCTGTTTCCCCAACAGGAGGCTCCCATGGAGGGCTTCCAGCTATAGGTTCCTAACCTCTTCAAAACCACCCCTCAAACCCCTTCTATATCCCCAACCCCCGACTCAAGGCTCCCAGTCCCTGTTACCTGTAGCGCCAGAGTCTTACTGGAGAATTCCTCTAATGTTGATTTCCTACCCCTAAATCCCCCACACCCCTGCTCTCTTCAGCCAACGGACTGTCACTTAACAGGGCAGACTAGTGTGGTACCTAGGACTAACCTGTTGCTTTAAATCAAGCCCTGGCTTTAGCGCACATACAGTACCTTCTGCCATGTGATGGCTTCTATTCCTTCTGTGGTGGTAATGATTAGCTCTTGATCTACACTTTCTTATTTCTTTTATTAATTGGACATTCCATTTAGAGAAATGCTGAGGCATCTTCCTAAAGGGATGCTGTGGGAATTATTCCCAGTTTTCTTTGTCAATCTGACATCATGCAATTGAAAGAATTGTATACCCTTATCCCCATTTTTGCTTTAGATTTATTTAACCCCAACCCTAATTTATCTTTTTAAGTGTTTTTTTCTCCTTGATTTCTGTTGATGAAATATGGTACTTGGAGACTCTTTTAGTCTTGGTGCCATGCTCAACATATCTACAAATGGAACTAGTCCACAAAAAGAGGGAAGAGGCTGCTATATGAATGAGAGTAAAGTCAGATCTTTTCCTTGTGATAAATACATCTATGGTGGGGGGTAAAAACAAAATGGTAAAAAGGGCTGAAATTATATATTTGATATAGGTTCGGGTTTTGATGACAAAAAAAAATCTTGTGGGTGGTATAGCTAGAGATCCAATGTTCGTCGTGTGCCGTGTAATTAATAATGATTTGAATTATGAAGTGATCTAACCTATGAAATAATGGCATAGCTGTGGGGATAGAACATAGGGCAGTAAAGGCTTATGTTTAGGGAAAAATATGCAGAGGCAAAAATGTTATTTGTTAAAAGATGACATTTTTAGCATTTGCTTTTCAATCTTTTTTTCTTAAGCTTGCCGCAAGTCGCCGCTCTATCCCCCAGTAGTCGCAGTAGGTGTTTTGCATGGTGTTCTAATGCCCTGCCTACTGTCACACAATATCCCTGGTCAAACGCACTGTAGGCCGAATGACAGAGAGGTCGCAGGAAGTGACGAGAAATGCTACTAATCACGTTTGGACTGAACAGTAAATTTAGCGTTTATTGTTAAGCAGTGATTGTGAAGTAACATTGGTGATGTATTGTATAGTGGTAGAGCTGATATGTAATCCATAACATGTATCACTATATTCAGTGCTTGGGAATGAAGCCGTAAAGATTTGCATGGGTCTATTGTGGTGTAGAATATGTATAGTCAATTTTGAAACTGACTAGAAAAAGTATCCTCCTTCTTTATTCGTGTACAGCTGGAAAATTTGGCCAGGGATATGCATCAAACTAGTGACAAGCCTAACTGCAGCTGAAATTCAAGTAGAGACTTGGATTTTCTATAATAATTCTATATAATTGCACACAGATCATGCACACTTACATACAACACCAGCCTACACTGTATACGCACGACACCTCACACAGATTAGTGGACAGCAGACAGCTATGAGTTTCCGGATGACAGGTAAAGAGTTCTGTTTAGTTTAAAGAAGCTGAAAGGGCGTTTGGTGTGCGCTTTTTTTTTTTTTTTTTTTTTTTTTTAATGAAGAATTTTTGTTTTATCCTTTTTGAAAAAGATGTAAATTAGACTGTCTCTGAAAACTCCTGGTTGACTGTTGGACACGTGACGTATGATTTGGTCGAAGTCTTGTGGCGCCTGATGATTCAGAGGTTAGTATAGCATCTTACGGAGCTGTCCCTGGATCAGTGTTGGGCTTTGTGGAAGGAGCTGAGCTGTGATTGTGTGATGTTTGACTGACGGGCACTGTGTGAGGAAGAGCTGTGACTCCGACTGTCCCCATCTGAGCATAGGAGCTCCTGTTCTGTGGATTTCACCACTAAATTATTGCATTACATGCAATTGAAGCTATTGTGTTGAGAACTGAGTTTGAGTATAAGCAAGAGCTTTCAAGCACATACTTGTAAAGGATCTGTATTCATATTTCTAAATGATATCCACTGAGCTGAGCTCTTCTGGCTGGCATAAAAGGTCAAACAATGTAATAGTCAATAATAATTTGTCTCTACATAAGGTTTCTGTAGAGTCTTCGATCATGACCACCTCTGTGTGGACACCACTATTGCCAGAAGAGATGCTAAAATCTTAGTTTCTAGTGAAAATGCACGCCTATTCACTAAAGTGCCAATCCGACCAACAAAGACTGGAGGTTCTTGTGTATCTGTCTTTAGATTCTTTTCTTTTGATCTTTATTTACTTGAATGTGCACACATTTTGTGCAAAATATTGCTGCTCTATTTTCTTCTATAAAGTTACATTATTTGCCACTGTTTTATTGTAAGTGGCACATTTTACTGTGGGCACCTATAAAAGGAGTACAAGACATAAGAAATATTGGCTAAAAATAGTCCCCTCATTTTCGTAATGGCTTTCACTGTGTTCAGCTAAGCTGTAGTCATATCTGATTATTTGACTCTTCTCTTATCTCATGCAGGTACTTGCCTTGTTTTCAGAGGTGGTTTACCAAAGTTGATCACCTTAAATGCTGATCGTAAAATACTTGATTTCCCATATGAGTAGTACACAAGTAATCTGCATGTGCTGACCCAGTTGGTTCAACTGTGATTTTGAATCAGGTCATTTGAAGTGGCTTCTTTTGATTAGAAGCCGTAATGGATCAGTCATTTTCTTAGCACATTTATTTTTGTGAATCTTACAAAGTCTTGCAATAACTACAACTCTAAATCTGACTCAAACCCTCCATGAACTGCTGTCACGGGTGACACTCCTTACACTGGGTGCAGCTAGCAGAAATTACTTGACATTTTCTAATATAATCTGGGATTCAGAAATTGTGCAGTGATTTACATTAAAAGTATTTAAGTTAAATTATATGTATGTTCTGATACATTGACAGGGATTCAAATGCAATTCTGATCACTTCTGAGAAGTGGAAAAGCCTCACTAGAACATGGTTTCACAGGAAAGTTCAAGTAAAAGCCTTTTTTCCTGATCCAGTTATCCTGGACTATTTTTGTGCATCATTTTCTTTAGACTAAGTTTGTCCTAGTCTCTGCATGATCAGGAACATTTAAGGTATTGAAAAGGCAATTCAAATATCTCCAATCTGTCTTCCGTCCTAGAAGCTGTTTGTCTTTACTGAAACCTACAGTCATACTTGGCTCTGTCAAGTAATGTCTACACTACAAATGTTTACAATCCCACATGTTTGTAAAAAATACTTTTCATATGCCATTACTGACTATTGTCCTAATGTAAATTCTCCTCTGGTCCTTGCATTTCTTTTACATGTATTTATTTTCTCTTTTTCTGTTTTTGACTTTTGCTTTGCTCAAAAATGACCTATTATACTGTGACTTGACTGGACCGACGGTATGAATGAGTGACGAGAAACAAATACACTTCCACTGAACATGACACACAAACATGAACATGGAAAAGTACATTCTGCTACAATATGAAAACTGTAAAAAAAAAAAAAAAAGTATATTGAAATTGTCCAGTGCAAATACTGTACAAATAAAGTTATGTTGCAAATTTAAAATGCTTTGTGTGGATTTGTTTTTAATATTGCAAACTTTTATCTGAGTAAATCAGTTTTCAATAAAACAAAACTTACATATATATATTATATATATATATATATATATATATATATATATATATATATATATATATATATATATATATATATATATATATATATATATATATATATATATATATAATACTATATTTATAATATATATATATACATATATATATATATATATACTATATATATATATATATATATACTATATATATATATATATATATACTATATATATATATATTTTAAATGTCAAAGTTGAAAAAAAAAAAAAAGTTAAAAGATAATACATGTTAAGTATGTTGCCTAAAGTCCAGTAGATGGCGCCTATCCTCAGCATTACAGTGCAGGACTCCGGAGAGAGGAAGAATCAAGTTATTTCCGGAAGTGTTTTTCTCACGCTGTCGAAAACCCTGCTGCTGTCGTACTAAGCTCTATTTCCATTGATTTTAACGGTAAAGACTTTATTTTAATCTAGAAATTGTGTATATGTGTATATGTGAATAGCTTTGTTCATATGTATTCGTAGTTATGACGAAACACATATAAACATTGTGGCTGATTTAGCTAAAACAGCACTGGCTTACGTTAGCCTGTGTAGCTAAGGTAAATCCACTAACAATATATGATCGATACATAGTTTTATATAATATATGAGGTTTTAGTGTGTGTGTGTGTTTAATCAGATCACGCTAATCGTTTAGCTGAGATTTTTATTGGTTAAGTGATTTAATTCTTTGTGGCTATAAGGGTCTTTCATATACTTTAGAGCATCCCAGATTAGAGACAGAACTAACACTTTATTGCATTACCTTTCCCTTAATGGCTACTTAGACCCCTGTTATTTTTGTCTAACAGTAACATGCAAACTGTAGTGAAAGACCACACATAATGATTTTTTATGTTTGATGGTTGACTTTTTTGGCCAAATGATATCTTATCTTGCTCACCAAACTCGAAATGGCACAGAATGTACAATGTAGTACTGTATCTGATAAAAACACTATGCGGAAAGGCATAACATTAACATATTTTTAACGTGTTTTCAATCCCCTCCCCTAGATGAAGAAGCAGGACACAGAGGAGGCGCTGGCTACACAGGAAACTGAGGACTCTCCAGTGTCAGCAGCAGAGATTGAGACACCTGTAAAAGACAGTGTGGACAGCACCAGCCCCAAAGAATCTGAAGCACCAACCCCACAGACAGACAGCCCTCCACAGGCCGAGGATGCTCCTGCAGAAGGTAACTACAGACAAGTCAAACTGATGCTTACTGCCATATATTTTATTTTTTTATCTGTATTATACAGAATTAACTCTTGTGAGCTTAGGCCATGTTATGAAAGCAAAGTGCTAAAATGCCATTAAGGTGCTTTACAGCTACACTTTGTTAGTGTTAAAAAAGCCTGTCAATTAGTGTTAGATATCAGACTTCCATTTTTTAACTTGTGTTTGTAACTCTAGTGTCAAATGCAGCCTTGTCCCAGTGTGACATGGCGGAGGAGCTTAGTCGGCAGCTGGAGGACATCCTCAGCACGTACTGCAGAGAGAGTGTTTCTGACGACAGCGCAGTGGCCAATGGACAGTCACACAGCCCTGAATTCAACGGGCTCAGCAATGACAAGGACGACAAGCAAGGTGGTAAAGTCAACCGGGAAGGGGACAAAGAGCAGAAGAAGTCCCAGGATAAGAAGAAAGTCAAGGGCCTGGGTAAGAGACTACTACTTCTGCTATGCCATGGTTTTTATTCATCTGTAAAGCATCTTTATTTCATTATTCAAGGCAAAGAAATCACACTTTTAATGCAGACCTTAAACACACTGAGTACACCCGAGGAGAAGCTTGCAGGACTCTGTAAGAAGTATGCTGAACTAGTAAGTTGTGTTTTTTTATTATCAGAGGGTTATAAGATTGAAATGCTCTATTAAGAGCTGTAACATCTGGTCATTTGCTCTAAAATCTTATACTACTGAAACACCTGATTATAGTGAGAGCCATTTTAGGTTAAAGGAAATTGGTTTTAGTTCTATTATTTGGCTGCCTAAGGTGACATAATTCTTCTTTCTGATTGGAGAAATGTCTTGAGAACTAAAAGACAAATGTACATCATGTGCATTGTGAATAAATCACCTTAAAAATTGCCATTTGTAAAGCCAAGATTAATTTAGAACGTGTTTACTTTATATCTTGAGGTAATCGTGGGTCACGTCACTTTTGTGAAATATTAAAAAAAAAATCCCACATATACCAACCACCTTTTAATTATAGGTGATTCATTTATACAATTTCTAGCAAATTTGTATTTATTTTTTTCTAAACTGTATTCAGACCCTAATGCATATGTGCATATGTGTAAATGTGTGTCCCCCAGTTGGAGGAGCATCGTAACACGGAGAAACAAATGAAGGTGCTGCAGAAGAAGCAGACTCAGCTGGTGCAGGAAAAGGACAACCTGAGGAACGAGCACAGCAAGGCTATCTTAGCCCGCAGTAAACTGGAGAGTCTGTGCCGAGAACTGCAGAGGCACAACCGCACTCTTAAGGTACATGTGTTTTGTGTAGCAAGGATTTGAAATGGCTGCAAATTATCAAGGTAGACTACTGATCAAAAGATTGGACCAACATTTAAATGTATTTTTATTTTTTATTTCCATGATTATTTGCATTGTAAATTCTGACTGAAGGCATCAAAGTCACATGAATATACCAAACAAAAAATAACAAAAAATTACTAAATAATTATTTAGATGAAATTGCCCACAGCCCTGCAAATTGAAACACTTTTTAGAGATTTTGGGAATACAGTAGATCCAAGTGTCAGTTTTTAAATGCTTGGTTGTGCTGTGTTTGCAGGAGGAGGGCATAAAGAGAACACGTTTGGAAGAGGAGAAAAGGAAAGAAGTGACATCGCACTTCCAGGTGACTCTGTACGATATCCAGGCCCAGATGGAACAGCACGATGAACGCAACGCCAGCTTGCGACAGGAGAACAGTGAACTGGCAGAGAAGCTCAAGAAACTCTATGAGCAGTACAAACTAAGAGAGGAGGTATGTGGGATTACTTAAGAATAAATCAGACCAGTCACAATGTAAAATACTTACAAACTGTTATCTTTCCCTAGCACATAGACAAGGTGGTGAAGCACAAGGACCTTCAACAGCAGCTGGTGGATGCCAAACTTCACCAGGCTCAGCAGCTCCTCACAGAATCAGAGGAAAGACACGAAAGAGAGAAAGAGTTTGTAAGGACAGAAATACAAAACATGAATGAATAGCAACATTTGAAATAGGGCATATTTTAACATTGTAACTGACTTTACTTCTCTAGCTATTGAAAGAAGCAATGGAGTCTCAAAGAATGTGTGAACTTATGAAGCAACAAGAAGTGCATCTCAAACAACAGGTTTGCAGTATATTTACTTATAAATTATTGAAATGATTTGTTATGTTATTATTTTACAAACTATTTATATTATTTCTTCTGTAGCTGTCACTGTACACTGAGAAATTTGAGGAGTTTCAAACAACATTGTCCAAAAGCAATGAGGTTTTTACCACTTTTAAACAGGAGATGGAGAAGGTGAAATGTTTTTTGCCATGTGTATACTAAAAACTATATCAGGGAAGATCTGTTGCTAAATATGTTGCTTTGATATTGTATAGATGACTAAAAAGATCAAGAAGCTGGAGAAGGAGACCGCCATGTATAGGTCCAGATGGGAGAGCAGCAATAAGGCACTACTAGAAATGGCTGAGGAGGTAATATTTTTGTTTACAATTCACAGGTCATTTTTACTACATTTTTATAATTTGATCAAAGTAGAATTTAATCTTGATTTTGCATGAAATAAGAAGAGGCTAAGGTAAGAACAGTAAACTTAATTGTCCCAAAGGAAAATTAATAATGGACAATATAATTGTCTTCACAGATTCATGCAAAATAATAATGTTGTCTTTCCACTGTCAATAAAATCATTTTTGTTTTAAACCCCTTCAGAAATCAGTCAGAGATCGTGACTTCGAGGCACTTCAGGGCAAAGTGCAGAGACTGGAGAAGTTAAGAAAGGCCCTGAAAGTTGAGCGCAACGAGCTTAACAAGAAGGTCCAAACTTTGAGTGGAGAGCCGTGCGGAGACCCAGAGGCCGATTCCCCCTCCCCTCCACCCACAGACTGTCTGCTCGAGTCAGGCCTGGAAGACCCTGGCTCCTGCTCACACTCTTGCCACTGTGAACACCCCTCCAGCACAGACGCCCCGCTGCCAGACACAAGCACTGAACCACTTACTACACAAGAATAAGAACAAGCGCTCTCACATACCATTTAATAAGCCCACCAGCCTGCAATGTGCACTCCTAAATAGTGTATAGTGAGGCAGAGGCATGCCTAAATACATACTGTTCAGTACATGTTTTCTCTCTGCTGTTAAATAAGTTGCCTCTGAAATGTTTTCTAATTGTTTTGTCAGTACGCTAAGAATATCTTTATGTGATACTGATGTTTAGGTAACTTGAAATTCTCCAGCACAATTTCTTTTTTATTATTTTATATACATATAGACATTGCTTCCTTTAAATATTGTATGGCTTATTGTGCATTGTTTAATTTGCACATTTGTTATCTTCAAACCAAATTATCAAATATGGTTCCTGACATTCCTGGTATTTTTACACAATGCTTAATGCTATGTGTAGACCACTCAGAAGATTGTCTCCCACACTTAATACTTACTAAGTTGTAATTTCACTGCAAAAGAATGTTACCAGATCTCTATGCAAAAAATGCCTTTTGATTTTATTTGGCAGTACTCTAAACAGACAAGCACTTAACTTGTGAATGTATATTCATATCTTGCATGGATGTTCTGTATCATCACATATCCCACCACAAATTGAGCTTCTCTTGGAATTTAATGGTCATTTGAATGTGTGATTAAGATGTACCGTAGAATGGCTTATTTCCATAACAATTACTAGAACACCAATTTTTTTGTCTTTAATGAGCAGATCGTGTCCATTATGACCACCTGGGCCATGAATGGAAAAAACAAAACTCTCTTTCCTCCATACTCAGTAGGATTGTGGAAGTTTGCTGGTCGTGAAAAGGAACCAAAGATGTGTCCTCTTTTTGATATCAGTTTTACTTTTATCTGACTATCTGTATATTTTGTTGATAAATAAAGAAGTCAACTGTGTGGCGTGTCTAATGACAAATAACTGTTACCGGCCGCTTGAGGGCGTGTTTGCTGTTCTGCATGCCGGAAGTCTGCACTTTCCTTTTCCGCTCTAACCCGGCGCCTGAAACACGAGTGTGCATCTTTTCTCGTATTACGGGGGATTTTTACGTTTTACTGAGCCTATTGGTGGAATTTAACAGAAGAATGGTTGGTATTCTCTGTTCGGAAAGACAATCGTGTGTTTTAACCAGCCAGACTCTAGGACAGAAGAACCAAACTCTGATATGGCTAAACCCATAAGCTAATTTAGCTGAAGATAATAAAGTGCACTGTAAAGATGTTAGGACAGGTTTAATTGACACCATTAATTAAGCTGTATGAGCACAATTGGCAGCCTGAATAGTGACTAAATTCTTTAAAATACTTTATTTCTATACAACAGTAGACTATGAGCTAATTTCTATTGTCCACAGAAACCCATCCTGCTTCAGGGCCACGAGAGGTCCATCACTCAAATCAAGTACAACCGAGAAGGAGACCTCCTGTTCTCTGTAGCTAAAGATACAGTAAGTGTCACCCTCCCATGTGCACATGAAGGTGTGCGCATCATCTGTAACATGGTTGTGTAACTGTGTTTGTAGGTAGCTAATGTGTGGTACTCTGTCAATGGTGAACGGCTTGGGACATATAATGGACACACTGGAGCCGTGTGGTGTGTGGACTGCGACTGTATCCTTTCATACTGAAGTTCATTTATGCTCGCTGTGCATTGATGGTCACTTGTTATCTTCTCGGAAATGTTCCTTAACATGGCTTTTCAAAGGGGACACTAAAAGTGTGTTGACAGGATCAGCAGACAACAGCTGCAGACTGTGGGACTGTGAAACTGGTAGGTTCAATCATCATTTTCATCCAGCCACAACAAATCGGTTATTTTGTGTTTATGGGTAAGTTCACCTGCGTCCACCTGCGCTTTCAGGTAAACAGATGGCTTTGCTCCACACCAACTCTGCTGTCAGGACCTGTGGCTTTGACTTCAGCGGAAACATAATCATGTTCTCCACAGACAAGCAGATGGGTTACCAGTGCTTCCTCAATTTCTATGACCTGAGGGATCCCCAACAAATTGGTACATAAAGGACATTTATATATGCCTTTTGTTTAGAATTTTGACTTATTAAAACTGAATTCTGTATAGTTTATTTTCAGTGACTAAAGAAGTTTATTTTGTTGTATTTTCAATGACCAAAGAAGTTTCTTTATACGTTAAAGGTAGTTTGGTTTATGAAATCTATGTTGCTTTGTTTAGATGACAACCAGCCATACCTTAGCCTTCCCTGCAATGACACAAAAGTCACCAGTGCAGCATGGGGCCCGCTGGGAGAGTTTGTAATTGCCGGCCATGAGAATGGAGAGATCAACCAGTACAGTGCAAAAGTAAGATTCATAACAAAGATTAAAAAAGTGTAGCTTTATACATTATAACTAAACTTATTCTTTTGTGAACAGTCTGGGGAGGTCCTGAAGAAGGCTAAGGAACACAGCAGACAAATCAATGACCTGCAGCTTTCTGTCGACCTCACAATGTTCATCAGTGCCTCCAAAGACTGCACTGCAAAGGTGAGGTGCATCAGTGTGCTTATATTTGAACTTTACAAAATGAAAATTTTACATAAAATGAAATACTTGATTTCAGCTGTTTGACTCTATGTCACTGGATCACATAAAAACCTTCAAGACAGAGAGACCTGTCAACTCCGCTGCAATTTCCCCCATCATGGATCACGTAAGGCAGATTCTGTTCTGCATGTACTTGGATTTTCACAGATTTTACCTTCTCACTTATTTGTTTGCTAATGCAGGTGGTGATGGGTGGTGGTCAAGAAGCCATGGATGTCACAACAACATCTACTAGGATTGGAAAGTTCGAGGCCAGGTAATTTTCTAATAAAATGTTTAAGTTTGTAGCCAACACTTGCCCAGGTTGAGCGTGTACTGAGAATATTTTCTACTCTAGGTTTTTCCATGCAGCCTATGAAGAGGAGTTTGGCAGGGTGAAGGGTCATTTTGGTCCCATTAACTGTGTGGCATTCCATCCAGATGGAAAGAGGTAATTAAACTTTGCAATGCTCACTTAATCTATTGCTGTAACTACCTTATTATTTACAGTTTCATATTGCTACAAATTCATGTTGGGAATAAGTGGCAAATTAAAAAGTGATCAAGTGCTTATTTATTTGTCTGTCTTTTGTCAACAGTTACAGCAGTGGTGGAGAGGATGGTTATGTCAGAATTCATTACTTCGACCCACAGTACTTTGACTTTGAGCTGGAAGCGTAAAACCAGGCCAATCCCACACAACCTTACAGCTTCAGCTAATACTGGACTGAACTCTGAATAAGAAACATCCCCAGACAAGAATACATTTAAAGTCGACTTGTGGACATTTGGAGCAGTGGAGCTACTCTTATCTTGTGGTGGTTTGCATTAAATTTCACATTGAATTTTTTGTCCTTTGAGTCACCAGGATTAATTGATTTGACAGGATTTTAAACCCTCTATCCATTTCATATAATTTAATACTAAAACATGGAAAAAATGCTATTTTGTGATGTCATTCCACCTCTACACAACATAAATAATAATAAAAAGTATAATTGCTTATACAAATAATTGCTTTTCTGTCATTTGATAAAGGACCGGTAAATTTGAAGGGATATCCCGTTTTAAAATGTGCATGGTTAGGGGCTGTTAAGTCAATATTGTGTGTAGTAATTGCCATACCTCACTTTTTTTGTTTTTTTAAACAAAGAAATGGCCAGAATGGTAAGGTTAGTGTTCTCACCAACATAGATGTCATTGCTAAATGGTGTTCACAAGCCAATGTGGTTTAATCTATTGAAAATAACACATGACAATGATTTTAATTTTTTATTAAAAATTTAGAATCCACATTTCACAAAGACAACCCTGAACAACACGTGGAGGCTTAGCAGCTCTCATTAGGTTTAATGGTACAAAATATCTAAAATATCTCACCTGGTGCCCAACAGAAGGCTTTCATTCACCCATACATCAGGAGTAAACAAGAGGAACACTGACCGCATACAGGAAGACTCAATAGTCACACTTTGATTCTAAAATAAGTTAGAAGAAAAGGAAACTCAGGTCTGCCTCTGCAAAGCAAATAGAATATGTACATGCTAGAGGCGACATTATTTTCAACATGCATTCACTTTTGAAAACTTGAGAGCTGCAGGTTGAAGGGCTGAATGACTGTACATACAGGTTTATCCATAACAGGAACAATATTGGTTTGGGCAATACTGTCTGCAAGAGCATTCCAGGTTTATTTTTGAAACATTTAGGTTATTTACCCACACGTCCATATATAAGCAAATAAAACTGAGTGAAAGTTTACCATTAAGAACACATGATGTAACAAAAGCAATAGAGAATGAATGGGACAGGACACTGCAGCTGGCTTCAAGTAGTCTTCACCTCCTCTTTTGGTCTGAAAGACAATTCATGAATCTTGAGTGAGGTGTGAAATACAGTGTAACAACAAAACAGAAAATATGAATTTATTATAGTATATCAAAATATAAATCTGTTGATTTCTTAACCCTTTCCATGTGTTTATTTAAGCCATCTGATGTATGATACCCATTGCTTAATCCTCATCATCATCATAACTTACCCAGATGTATCCATCTTTTCTTCCTCCTTCTCTTCCTCTTTTACTTCTATAAGATATAGATAAGAACAAATGTGAACCACAACTCTATCACAAGGATACAAAAAAGTATTTAGATGATGCCTAACCTTTCTTTTCCTCTCCTTCCTTCTCTTCCTCCTTCTTTACCCGTTTGGCCTTCTTGTGGTTGGCTGCATTTCTACGACCACCTCCCTGTCCCTCTGCTTCATCTTCAGAGTCAGAGAACTCCTCTTCACAAGCTATCCTCTTGTCGTGGGCACGGACTGAAATACAAATATTCATCTGTAAGTTTTGAGAAAACTGTATTGATGTTTTAAAGTACACTATAGACCGCTTACTGGAAACCCGTTTGTCAGGGTCATCTTCCTCCTCATCCCCGCTGTCTGGGTGCGGGGCGTCCTCTGGGATGGCTTGCATCTGGACACCTGGGGCGTGGGGAAGCATGCGCAGGTTTTCAAAGAGACGCTGCTTGATCTTCTCCAGGTATTCGTTGGTGTTCTGGTTGGTCATGTTGGACGGGCTGATGTGCAGTTTGAAGTCAGGCCCAAAGTATTCAAAGTAGTCGTTGTAGGGCAACTCATTAGGAATGGAGGAGTCCAGGGCAACTGCCGTTTCATAAGTCCAACAGCGCGCCACATTACGGATGGTATAGCCACCTCCACCCAGCATCAACAGAGGGAGGTTGAAACTTTTGATGTATTCCACACATTTGGCATGACCTACAAAGACAAATTATGACAGACTTCACATTTAAAGATCATGATTTCAATTCTATTATGATTTCAATTATTTAATAATTTATTATTTTTTTACTTCTTTATATTTTATTTAAGTGGTAAATGGAGATATCTGTATGTGTTTCATCACAGAGCTGTATTAAATAAAGAAACATTAATCTGACAATAGATATAGGTCATAGAATAATAATCCCACCTTTGATAGTCAAATTGAAACAACCCAGTCTGTCTCCAGAGAGGGAATCTGCTCCACACTGAAGAACTACAGCGCTTGGCTGGTACATCTCCATCACTTTGGCCATGATCTAGTGACATAATATAGTTAATGCATGAAGAAAAAAAAAGTATGTGATACAATAGATCACTATAAATATGGTCTTTTTTTTTAACTTACTGGTTTGAAGATGGCTTCATAGGACTCATCATCAATGCCATCCCTGAGAGGATAATTTACTGCATAATACTTCCCTTTTCCAGCTCCAATATCCTTGATAAAAATTTAAAAGGGGTATTTTAATTAGTATAGATATTAGAACAAAAACACATTAAGACATTAAAATAGCAACTAACCCTCAAGTCACCAGTCCCAGGGAAGTACTCCCCGTATTTGTGGAAAGACACAGTCATGACCCGGTCTGTAGTGTAGAAGGCCTCCTCCACTCCATCACCGTGATGAATATCGATGTCTATGTACAACACTCTCTGATGGTACCTACAGATACCATACATTTATCAGGAACCATGTTCTGATCTGAGGCTAATTCATTTATTAGTAAAACATTTTTAAAAGATTTAAAGAGCACATCTTACTTTAATAGCTCCAGAATGGCCAGGACGATATCATTGACATAGCAAAAGCCAGAGGCTTCAGATTTCTTGGCGTGATGAAGTCCACCAGCCCAGTTAATGGCAATGTCTGTCTGTTGCTTGTTCAATTTCACGGCCCCAGCTTTTAATTAGAATAACCACAATCAATACACTGGATGTATAAGGAAAGCTCCTCGTGTAGGTTATGTCTAATGAGATTATTGTGCCATGAATGTTAACATACCAACAGAGCCACCCGTTGAGAGCTGGCAGAACTCAAAAAGTCCATCAAACACTGGACAATCCTCTCCAACATTAACTTAAGAGGGTAAAAACACATAATTCACTGGCTTCATTGTGTTAAGAAATGTTGATATTAAACCTGAAGTGCTCACATCTCTGCATCTGTTTGCTGTATTCAGACATGTTGTCCGGTCGGATGGACCTGAGGAACTTTATGTAGTCATCACTGTGGTATTTGGTCATCTCCTCCCCACTGGCTTTGTGTGGTCTCTGCAAACATATCAGTTTTCATTTTAAACTAGTTGAAGTTTATAATGTAAAAAACAATATTAGTCCAAAATTGAGAATGGTGACTCACATAGATCTCCATTTTCCTGTACAGTCCATAGTTTAGCAGAAGGTTGTGTGTCATGCGGATTCTGTGTGGCTTCATAGGATGGCCTTGGCCGTAATAATAGTTTCCCACATCACCTAAATATACAGATTCATTTAATACTGAACACAAATAGACCATACATACAAATATATATATATTTATTTTTAATCTCATATATTGTCTTCTCGTGATGATCTGCTAATGATAACAAATGTTACAGTATAATAACCACATGCCGAATGTTGTCATTATAGTTTACAGTGGAGGATACACACTGGACATGTGGCTCGAGACGGTCGCATTTGGGATTGGTGACCCCTGCATCAGCTTCACTTTCTCGGAAGTTGTTAGCAAGTTCGGAGGATTCCCAGAGACGAAACTGGATTTTCAGCTTACTGTAACGCTGATTTGACGACCAAACAACAGCTGCACATGTATGTGTTAATTTACAAAAAGAATATATTTAAATCTGTCACGCATTTTCAAAGCTAACAGCCTTGCGGCTACATAAGTCAGTCAAGCAAGCTAAGATTAGCCTGCTATACCGGTTAGCTTGGTCCCACAACTCAAGCCGTGTATTTGAGACCCGCCTCATTAGGCCTTTTTATCAGTCACACACAGCTCATTACCACGTATACAAAAGCCATGCTTACCGTCATAGTAATAGCAAACTTTTTTCTTTGTTCCTTGAGACAGCGCCATTTTACACTATTCCCACTGTTTCGTGCCCAGTGCCCCCGGTTTGTCTCCGCTGCAGCCGCACTCAGCGCACTCTGCCGCCTCCGCCAATCACACAATTCGCACCGCCCGGCTGGGAGGAGCCGGGACACAAACCGAGGACCACTGAGGCGCATCCAGAGACTGGACCGTAGACGGACTGGACCCTCATCAGACGTCTAGACTGAAGCGCACAAGCCAGAGGTTTTATTCTTTTAACAACCCCCCCAATTGTCAACATCCATCTTATCAGTTAGGCTGGAACAGTAACTCAGGTGGTAGAGTGGACTGACATTCAGTTGTGGTTAATGGCTAGCTCAGACTGCTGTTGTGTCCTTGCGCAAGACTTTTTCCTACCTTGCTTACACGATGCAGCGTTTATGTGAAAAGAGATTATTAAGGGATTAAGTACAGAAAAATAAATGCTGGTGGGTATAAAAACAGATGTTGTGACACTCCAATCTCCAAAGAAAATAAGTCACAATAAGTTGTATATTAATGCTGATACAATAAATTACACAAATTAATTTAATTCACACTCATATTCTTCATCGCAGACTAATCGTGCAACTTTATCTTTAGTAGCAGTATCTTGAATGGACACCAGATGTCAGTCTGCACTCATATTTTCATCCCTCTAACGTCCAAATCTGAGTGTGCTTGTCAAATTATTGAATGAGCAATGCTGCAACACCGAAATGATTAATGCCAGACTTGGAGCAAAGTACTGTGTTCACTTGAATATAACAGCTTTCTATTTTACTATCTCTGTGTCATTAGTTCAAGTGGACCAAGTGCTGACATTTCTATCCCCACTGTGTATGCCATAGGGGATCTGGCCTGCCAACAGTCTCTTAATGCAAGGATAATGTAGTGTTTAAGGTTACCAAATGCATAGGCCTGCAGAGTCAATGAGCCATTCCAATATGTAGCTGCAGCTCCCCTTTAATAATTGATATTAGAATGAAGGCTGGTTCCAAAAGTAGCTCAGATCTCTGCTCATCATATCAGCATGTGAACTAGGTCAGTCCGCTCATGGCATTGCTTCTGTGTTAGTTGTAAGGGGCCTTAAGATACAGAAAATATTGTAGTAAGGGAATTGTGGGTTAACAGAATTGGTGCTGATCCCAGTGTTAGGACACTTAATATAGGGTTAGGGGTCAGTGGGGCTGGAAGTGTACTATTAGGGCCTGCAGTTATCACACAGTTTGTCAGCAATATACATGGATAACTGAAGGATTACACAGACAGTAGTAGCCTAATACTGCAACTCTCCAATGTGTCTGCATGAATAACAATGTCTTAGAAGCTATTGGGTTCAATACTTTTGCTGCTATTGACTTAAGTAAGATAGTGGTACAAGCTAAGCTACAGTTAATACTCTGGCAGTAGTAAAAATACTAGAGGTAACAGCAAACCTATTTTGGCAATCCAAATTATAGAGCTTGCACATAAAATTTCACAGTACATTCACAGTACATTTACTCAGATATTTTGCCTTTTTCTTTTACTTACTCAGTTCTATCTAAACAATTAAGCTATTACCTAGTGGCTCTAACGTAATTATTTGACCTAATTGTCTGTTTGTTTTTTAGGTCCTGACTACAATTTGATAATACCAATAACCAGAGACGTAAAGTGGCAGGTAACCAACATTTATTTACCATTATCAACTTTACAATAAAACCAGTAACATCTGTCAACATTAGCAAAATAAAGAACAGAAATCAATCCAATGTATTTACAGAGACAAAGCAGATTCAGGCTCACACACGACAGATAAACAACTCTGCTTCATATCAAACCGCAACAGTGAACATAGCAAGCTTAAGTGTTCTTCTTTTATAGTAAGGTAAAAATCAAATATTTTTTTTTACTTTAAACAAACAAGACATAGCTTCTCTGAATCTTTAAGATGGTCCTCTATAATACACCACAAAATACTTCAAATTTGGGTTAAAATATAGGAATGTAAAAAGTTGGCAAGTCTCTTAATTTCTGATTTCATTTTTCGTTATTTAACAGTCATTCAAGTGGTGGTGTCCTACTATCATGGTAAGCTTCATTCCTTCAGCACGGAGCATCTTAGTCACAGATTTTAAGAAAAAGATGCTCTGATTTGTGTCAACATCCTTCAGCCTCTTTCAAACTTCATGGTGTCAGTATCTCGCATTCCAGCCTTTAAAATCCATTCTCCAGAGCGACCATCCCACAGCCTAAACTCAGCCAGGTCCAGATGTCGGCAGTAACCAGGGAAGTGATCTAGTGAATCTAGTCTGTCGTCTTGTTATCATGACGAAAAGTGGCACGTCGAAGGAGTCTCTCACATACATGTGTATATATTTACATATACATATATCCATATACATATGTATACATATACACATATATATAAATATATATATACTCTTAAATTTTCTCTCTCTCTCTTGAAAAACAGTTCACTCAGTTCATAGTGAGCTGAAGGTACAATCACTCTTTCTTTTCAGAGGGAGCAGGGGTCGAGCTGCTCTCCTCTGTGGGTTTTGTGGGCTCGGCGGCAGGAGCAGCTACCTCTTTGGGCTCCTCTTTAGGAGCCTCCTCGGCCTTGGGGGCTTCCTCAGCCTTAGGAGCCTCAGCAGCTGCAGCAGCAGGAGCTTCTGCAGCCTCCTCCTTCACCTCCTCCTTCTTCTCCTCTGCAGCTGCCTCCTCTTTCTTCTCCTCCGGAGCAGCGGCCGCTTCTTCTTTCACGGCATCGCTCTTCTTCTTCTTCAGATTGATCTTGAAGTTGAAGGACTTCTTGAGGGAGAACTTCTTCTTCTTCTTCTTGGGGGTTTCTTTAGTAGCTCCTTCACCCTCAGCTTTGGCAGCCTCTCCGTCTGCAGCAGGTGCAGGCTCGATGGCATCACCCCCTGCACCAGCCTCGGGCTCCTTGGCTGCATCAGCAGAGCCGTTGGTGGCAGCAGCTTCTCCATCAGCCTTGGAGACATCTCCGTTTGATTTCACATGCCCATTTTCCTGAAAAAAGTGAAGAATAAAGCTGTCACCAAAATGCATTTTGCACTTAATTAATTTCTCATCATAATTTTTCCCAACAAAATTTTAGCTACATGCTAAGAGAGATAAAGACTTTTTTTCCCCATTTACTACGTCTTGAGCGTCGTCGTGCTCATCAATTAACAACCGTGTCGCCTGCGAGGAGGCGACGCCTTGCAGTGTCATCATTGAGCGATAGGCGGCGGTAGCTCCCTACAAAACGCGCTGTGTACCAGACAGACGGTGCAACAAAGACTTGAGCTAATCGATGGAAGAATGACAATTTCAAAGATAATTCTACAAAATCAAACCAGCTACAGGTCTTTACATGGAATGCACTCACGTAAGTACAAGCTCTAGATTGGCACAGTCCATTTCTTTTTAACGTGCTACCACAAATGTAGATAAAAATTGGCAATGCAACCAGCATTTTTTTATGTATGACTTACATTTTTGTAGCCCTACATTTGCATATTTATGATGAGATAAAGCCAATTAAAAATGGGGCAGACGACGATAAAAAAGAAATTTTTTTGCAGGGAGGAGTAGCAGACTGCCTACGTGCGCCCGAAGTGCCCCCCTCCCCCTTTTATTCATGCCACTATCAAACACGCTGTGCACACTTCTAAACCTCGCTCATAAATGACAGACTCGGGTGGAGCTTACATTTGCCTAGTGCATAAAATCGCCAAGCAGCCCACAAGTGTTTCTTAAGGCTATTTCTTCTGAGCGTCGCGCACAAGCACAAAGTGATGCTCAAGCCCACCTGTCTCTCAAACTCACATTCAACAGTGAACATGCTGTTAAATCAAGTCAAATGCCACAAACAAAAAATAAATATCAGTCTTGGGTTGAATGGCGCGCCTTTTCTGCCTTCGTAATGAAGTAAGTGCGTAATTACCTGTCCATTGGTTTTGACAGCTGCAGCATCAGCGGCAGCAGCGTTTGCCTCCGTAGCTACTTCTCCCTTGGATGACTGGGACCCCATTGTCTTCGGTGAGTTTTAGCGTGTCTTCTAAAGCAAATGAAAAATAAAAACTAAAAAAGAGTGGTGCAAATTAATCCAACTCCAGTGCAAGTTATGTATCCGGCGATGAAAAGCCCAAAGTAGCCCGTGTGTTTGGTTCAAAAGACAGTTCCTTCCCTCGGCGGCTCCCCGGCTCAGACTTGTCACCCTGGTAGAGAGAGACCCTCTAAACTCGACACTGGTTGAGCGCAACGCTTCAACATAGAGCAGGTTCAAGGCACCACCCGTAGGCGGGCTCTGCGAGACGCGGACCAATCAGTGTCCACACAGAAAGAAAGTTTACCCCGTTTCAGCCAATTATAGTATTGTTCCGAAATTGCATTGCTTATTCACTAGACCCCCGGCAAAGAAATTAATTCTACACAGTTTCAACGTTTTACATGTATAAAGGCAACATTTTCACCTTTATAGGCTACATGAAGATAGTTAAACTATTTCCTACTATGAAGTTTAACCGCAGATTATATTTTCAGAATGATTCACCTATCAGTGGCCTTTATAGTACTAGTACTTCTCTTTGAATTTCTTTTATGATGTCATACATGCAGACTCACCATAGTATTGTGAAATTTACTATATGAAAGTAGAATTCCAGTTTCCAAGTTGCTTGTTTCTCAATGAGGGAGATTTGTAGTACAGCACTTTTGGTTTTGTTTTCAGCATGAGTAAGACTTACTCTTTTGGTTTGTTTAGTAGTTGTAGGCCTGCTACATCTTGGCATCTGTTAGCAGTTGTTGCACATTTCTCTGTGAAAAGTATATAACAGGTGGCACATGTATACCTAATATTGCACAAGTAACTTTTTGTCATCTGCTTGTCTCCATGACAGTGTTATTACTTTATCTAGAATCTTCCACATACCATTTGACATTAACCATATCTATCATTTATAGCATTTATCCATATTAGCATTTATCCAATAACAGCTACGATAAATGTAAACATATGCATTCTTAACAGTGGGCAGTCTTGTTTCTTCACTGATCTGACCTGTAACTTCCAATAACTTGACCTGGAAAATACTACAACCTTTTTTAACCTTTAAGTTGAATTTGTATCTTGGTTTGGTTCTGGTTTGGACTCAGTTTAGTCGTGTTTTAGTTATGTTGGGTTGATCCTATACTAGTCCTAGTTTTTTCCTGATCTTTTCCAGATTTAATCCCTAGTTCCCAGTTTTGTTCCTTAGACTCTCTTGGACATTGTAGGATCATGGGTCGTACAATCAGGCCTGTCATAATAACACATTTTAAAGTGCAATACATTACTGAAGAAAATATAGACTGACACAGACACATAAAACCTAAAGCAGAATTATTCCAAAAAGTATTATAAGTGAGCAATATCATTAATAAACATGAGGTGCAATAAATAAAAAGAAACACAAAATGAAAAGTTATTTTTTCAACTCTAGAGCTCAAATAGTACAGAAGAATAAACATCTGACCTAACATTTCCCCACTAGCACAAAGAATAAGTGTTTGTCTACTGACCCACAGTTTGGTGGTGCAATTCCACCTTCCACAACTGTTAATGGCTGAGTGGAGTGTCATGTTGGTGGAAACGTACCATGACCATTGACACCCAGAAAATATGATTCCATTTATCATTTATTGAACAATAATTTGAAATAGCAATTATCCTGACAGCCCTAAGCACAATTGGGTATTAAAGTTTCATGTGCTTGCTAGCATTGAACTGGCGTGAATCTGGGACCTGCTGATTTACTGGAGACCTGGGATGAACATCTTGGCTAACTGCGTGTCACGCTGTCTCTGTGCAGCCCTCTGACTGGATTTGTTGTTCACTTCCGCTTGTCAACAACATACCAGCAGCAGCAAAATATGTCAATGTGATGATCATGCACATTCCACCTGATCGCTGGCTCCCACACACATTCTTTGTAACAGCTGTTAAGACGACAAATCTGGAGTTATGGACGGCAAAGGACTCTCAGTGTTCCTTGCTGCAAATTGATCTTCACTGCGACCAATCAGCGTAATTGATTTTGCGAGACTTGGGAACATTGGAATGCATGTCAGCAGCCTGTCTTGATGCTAAACTAGCAGAGCAGATTAGTTCACATTTAAGTAAATGTACACTTGGCCTTGTAAAGGGATTGTGGAGAAGACAAGCACAGAGTAAATTATCTAATATTTAAATGCAGTAAAATGTATTTGGTGTAATGTGTAAGTTTCATGTAAGTGCTTTGCTCAGAGTGTTAGAAAATAAGGCATTATGACAACTTACCTTTTTTGCATTTTCCAGTTACAGGTGTTCATAAACTATTACTAAATTTCAGAAGGCCAACTTCTCCTCATATGTAACCCATAACTTTGCCTGGTGGTGTCTCTTTCTTGTGTCCATGTGGAGACAGATGAATAAATGATAGATGTTTAATGCCATACTGTGGAACATTCTAGGCAAAGCAATAAGATCTCATAGTAGAACATGAGAAAATAGATAATGAAATTGAAAATACATGGAGTTGGACAATCTAAAGTTTATTGTGAAGTATAGTGGAGAGGGTTTTCAATTCTCTAAAATATATTTGTTATTTTGTACCAATTTTGCCACAGAATTATACAATTATTAGCTCAGCATACACTACACATAATTTCAAATATTTCAGGTTATATGCTCTATAACTTTTTAGTTCACTTCTACTTAATCATTTGGTTGTTATTTTAACCAATTCTCTCACTATCTCTGTGCAGCCTGCCCTTTGTGCTCGTCCCTCTACAGTCACACTGAGCGGATAACCTTTTCTCACACACGTATCACACTGTATCTATCCAGCCTGGCCTTGTAAATGTCATAATAATGTGTCCACTGTGTACTGTGGAATGCCTGGCACGCCGGCCCTCTCCACTCCTCTAGCCATCTTCTCCTATGTGAATGGGCTTCTTCAGCAGCCATGCCCAAAGTATAAAACACATCCAACCATAAGGGACAGACCACCAGAACCAAACAACATCATGTCTTAACTTTTACTCATGTTCGCATGTCAAGTAACCCATTCTTTCATGTTCGCGAAATCCTTGTGTGACAGTGATGACGAGATGCTAGCTAGCGATTGTTGCACTTGACACGTCTTCTGTGCGTAGCAACTTAGCACATGTGGGTCTTTGTGTTATGTGTGTATAAGGGAAGCATTGTCGTGGGGTCCAGGGGGTGAATGGCACAGAAAAGCAATCCTTCAGAGATTATGCACACATAGACATTCAGTGCATCAGCTGGGACAGGGTTCATGTATGTACGGTGGAATGCGAAGAGGAAGATGGAGTCAAAAGCCTTAGATGGGAAAGAGGTAGAGTCGGATGCTATGTTGTTTAGATATGACATTCCTAGTATTCGAAAACAAATGGATTGAGGCACTGATAGACCAAAGATAGCAGCGATGGGCCAACGCTTTATCAAACTAGAGTTGCGTGGATTCTGGGTAAAAGGGAGAAGGAAGAAGAGAGATGTAATGGATGGAGATGAAGACAGAATATCAATTTCCAAGTATTGTTATGAAACATTATATTGTGTTTCATTTTGGATAAATTTTACAAAGCTTTGTTGGGATTGTTACAAAAAAAAAGTGAAATGATAATACACTGACTAATTATCTGAGAAATTTGGTGAAGGATTTTCTGTTGAAATGTGCTTCAGAACACCAAGGATACTTACTTTGTTAAAAATGCATTTAAAGATGTACTATGTAACTTTTCTGGTGAAGGGCCCACCATCCTCTTGTCTCCATGGTTTGCATTTCTGGACTGTATGCCGGGATGGCATTGAAGGTAAATAGTATACTATATGCACCTTTAACATTATAAGATGATTCGAGCAGAATCATTCTTTAACTGGAGGTGGCTGAGATGAGAGAAGTGTTGCCCTCCTGGTAAGAGCTTAACCTTCCACTCCGAAGACCTGTTTACTTTTAATTACTGAAATGTAACTACTGCACACAATTTATTAGTAGTGATTAGTTGGCATTTATAAGATGCCTTGTTGCACCAATTATATTAGAATTAAATGACTCAAGGGCTAACAAGCTACTGTCCTCCGTAGATGCAAGGTTAATGGCCAAGGTAGCGACGCATTACAGCAGGTGACAGTGAAGGCTGGCTATGGAAGTGAAATTAAAAGGACATCATCAGGTTCAGTGTGAGCTGAGGTGAAGAGAGCACTGTATCACCTATGAGTCCAGGGGCTTTCCAGGGACAGCACAAGAGAGACGCTGCATAAATCATGCGGTATGTAAACAACTTGGAAGTCACCTACTCTCCCAGATGGAGTCAATGGATGGGCCAGTGGAAGCCTCAAGTATTTATTCAGCAAATACAGCCGACACCTCCTGTTTGTTTTATTACCACTGTACTACACTAAACAACTCTCCTAGCAACATGGCCAGGCAGCATTAGTAGTAGAAATAGAGTAATTATAGTAAAGCATAGGCAAAAACATGAACTTTAACCATTTGTTCTGCAGTGCAAATAATACCATGATAAGGACCTGTACCTGATTTCTTCCCATGTACGGTATTTGAGCAAAAATGACTTGTCCCAGTACAGATATATTGTATTAGCAGCTCTTGAGGTCAAAGTCTGCTGTGTACTGTCTGCATCTAATCATGAAGCGTGTTATTGTGCAATAATCTGTGTCAGACAGACTAATGCATTATGTTTTAGAAGAAAAATGACTTCCTCCTCTGCTAAACAAGTTTGCATTTCTGAAAGTCTTTCACAAAAGTGCTGCCCCACCAGATAATTAGCATATTTTTAGAAGGCTACATTACAGTCATAAATCACCTATTTAAAGCAACAATGTGTAATTCTGTGACATTGTATATATAAGTATCCCAGCTTACCTACATGTCAGGGATATGTTTGGAATTTGTCTTTCCACTTAGTACCTAATTTAACCCCTCTCTCCTGTTAACTTTCACCGCATCTTACTGTCACCCCTTAAACATCTGAAATGCTCTCCCTGGGGGAATGCTCCGAGGGGTCCGTAACCTTTAACCCCACCTTCAGACACACTTTGAACACATTACCCATTGTCGCCGCCCTAGGTTGCACATTTGGTCTCCCTAGGAATGTTGACTTCACCTGGCCTTTGTCATTTGTCCTTTAGAGAAATGTACAGGCTACTGCTGGTCTCTATTGTAGAAAAGTTGTGAAACTGTGAAATGGTTTAGTCACATCTAGAGCTTGGCAAAATAAAAAATAAAAAATTCAAACAGTCAATAATTGACAATTTCTTAAACATAAACAATCCAGAATTTTAATTTCGGCTATGGCCCTCTAGATTTATAAAAAGACTCAAGCTTGGTCAATTAGAAATGACTAGAAATGTGTTTAATTGCAGATCTAGCGTATAAAACCATTGTTATATACAGCAGTGCTTTTGATGAACCCCACTGTTACACAAACAGAAACAGTAACAAACCTATCTTCCTTCGTTAGCCAACAAACATCAAACA